ATTTTTTTTTTTTTTTTTTTTTTTTTTTTAAATTTTTTTTAATTTTTTAATTTTTTTTTTTTTTTTTTTTTAATTTATCTTGGCGGCCACCTTTTCGATTCGGTACTCCAGGGAGGCCAACGTGACTCGTTTTTCTGAGCTCTGAATGTATGGTCCCCGAGAAACTGTAGTCACAAGAGTTGGAAAATTTCCCGGGCTTAAACGCTTTTTATTGAGTTTTTAGGTATTATTCAAAAAACTTAAAATGCTACTTAAACGGTCAAAAATTTCTGTTTTAATTTTTTAAGTTTGTACAAAAATTTTAAACCATGTTTTCCGTTGCTAAAAACATTTTTGCAATTTTTTCTAGACAAGCATACCAGCGGAAATATTCCACGAACGTCTAAGGTGCTGGCTTCGACATTAAAACGATACCCTGAGATTTACTTTGCATACCCCCCAATTTTCCTCAATATCCGCCTTGGCCATTCGTTTTTCACACCAACACCATATACGTTCAAAATACTCATTAGTTTAATCCGTATGCAGATCTATTTAGAACAGGACACTGGAACAAAGCCTTGAGTTTCAGGAATTTTTATACACGATGAGAAAATGCGGGATAACAGTGTTCAAATAAAAACAAATTTTGAATGTCGTTTTAAGAGTTTAAACAGACTAGGACGTCTGAGAACCTACCCCTACCTATGACCGGGTTTTAAGATTTACAGGACGCCCAAGGTACACGGCCAGTCGCTGTTAGTTAGAGTTTTTAAAGGCACCGACAAGGCTGTCATCAAGGTCCATAGTCATGCCTTGCCAGTCCTTTGAAACCACATCAGTACGCGCGCGCGTATTTTGGAGCGTCCTCAAGCCGTCGAGACCTTATTCGATAGAAAGGTGGATTCCTCGCTTCCCAGTCCCTTTAACCAACCGCACGTTTTCCCGCATTTTCTCACTAATTTGAACGTTCTCATCTCCATCTTTTCAGGGGGAAGCCCCAATTCGACGGCTCGAACCCGACGAGGGGGAAGAAGCGGCGGAAATCGGATGGATTCTTTACCTTCGTCTAGCGGATATTCGTCTTTTAGCCTGATTAAATGGGTCAGCGGAAGGCGGAACGGAAACGGATCCAAAAATTGCTACCAAATTATTAAAAAAACTTCTGTATTCTTAAAAATTTAAAAATTATTTTTAGCCCTTGTAGCGTTTTTTTTTGTTAAATTCTGACCCATCTACCGTACCCTAAATTCCGCTCTATCCGCCCTAATATACCGTATCCGTTCCCACCACATCACCTCCTCGAAGCGGCTCAAAATATGCAAATTTCCCCTGCCTGACCCCCTTCGTTCTCAATTTCCCCAAATGTTCCTCGATTCTCGGTGCGATCGCTGCCTCGGGTCCTCGTCCAATCCTGTTACTGTACGCCCCTTTACACCCCCATATTGTGCCCCTACTACAGGATGCCCCTCCCTGCAGGTCACCTCCCACATCTATGCCAATTTTTGCGACTTCTCCAGTTTTTAGGGAAATTTTTCAGTATTTCTGACCTTCTCAAACTCCTTCCGGCAACCAGTCTTTCAAAATTAAATTTCGTATATAATATATTGTTAATATTCTAATATATCTCCTCCCTCACGCGCCGTCTGCCTGATTGTCTGCTAGCAATATTTTCGGTTACCGTATTACTATTTTTATTATTTTATGAAAATTACGAATCTTTCATGAAAAATAATCGACATTTTTACATCCCGCCTCTTCACTGCCCCAAGCTATTTTTGAATTTTTGGATTCTAAAATTCCGTATTTCTTCTGAAATTCTGCCACGTTTTTAGCCATTATCAATTTTTGCGTTAAATTTAACCCAAAAATTTCTAGTCAAAAATCTTTTTTCAATCTCAAAATATCATTTCTCCAGTGTGCTTGTTTAATCGATTTTTCGCCCCAATTTTTGCATTTTTTTTGTCTCCTTGATAATCCGAAATTTCTATATATAACAGTGCAAACGTGGTTTGCTCAAGCGGGTATTATTCAAGTATTTTGACGATTTTTTGATGGGGTTGGTGAGCTTGAAAAGTATCGAAATTTAAGGTGAATTTAGGCTTACCGACCTTGTCACTGGAGAATAGGTATCTCGTAGAATATCCCAATGGACCCTGGAGATCCACCTATTTTTAACTCATTGTTTAACGTTTGTCATTTTCCATTCACTGTACCCCCCGATCGAGAATGTGGCAAAGTTTTTATTATCATGTTCACCCACTGATAAAGAAATTATATATTTCGGTTGGAGAATGATGCACGATACAATCGAAAGAAATACACCTAAACGGCGAGTAACGCTAATCTAATCCAGACATGGCATGCCGCAGACGATATCCGGACGGCTAGAGAGGGGTCGGTTTTCTTAAGACACCCTGTATGCGCGTCGCAAAAAGCATGTCAGGGTTGCTGTGTTCGAAAATCCCGAACATCGGACTTAGGCACCACTCGGTCTAGATGCCGTCGTTTCCAAGTTCGAAACCGGTTACCGTCAGTGCTTTCCTGATGGCCAAGTTACGCCCAGATCGTCCTACTCCGTCGCCTGGTTATCACTGACAAGACGCAAACGGCAAAATACCCAGTAAATTCGCCCATGAATTTCGCTTCAATACCGACTCTTCTTCGGCTGCCATAACCGGCTCCGACGCACCGCATGCAAATACGGGTAGGTATCGGTTTGCTACTACCATTGCAGGGCCAACGTTATGCTACGGTTCAGCTGTTCGTTGCATATCCGTCAACATCTTGAATTGAATACGAAATGAATACTTATCGCTTCGAAGTCGTCACGGTTGAATAGGCATTTAACGGAAGATATTTTTCCAGAAAAAACGGGACCATCAAGATATGCTAAAACACCAGCATCTCCTGCATCCTGGCCATCGGGGTGTTATTAACGTGCATCGATGATTGAGCGGACCCAGTTAGGCCACTTTATGCAATCTCATGAAAGATGCGTAAAACCATGGTGCACATATCAAAACAAGAATACGACATTTATTGAGCAAATGAAATAGCGTAATTCGTTAATGGGATTACGGGCCGGGGATGGAGCCGTTGGAGCCGCCGCTGCAGCCGGATACCTGTTGCCACCGTCCTCTTCCTGGAAAGTAATCATTTTCTAACGGAAAGCGAAAGAACCATGCTTGGACCAACGAATCCCAAAACTACCCACTTCACGACGCACACGATGATGAGGCCAATGACGATGCAAATGGGCAGACCGGTGGTGCAACCTGAACAGATAGGCGGTGGTATGAATCGAAGCCAGGCGGCATCCAAAGGCTTCAAAACCCTACAAAATCCTATGATGACGGTGAGCACGAACACCAAATCTGCAGCGTCGTCCTGGAAAAGCAAAAGCGGGATTTTTCTGAGATTCTGGAGTACAAAATCATTAAAGTAGAAAAGATGATAAGGTAGCTGCGTATCTTGGGTAAACTTTAGCCCAAAACCTTGCAGTCGGTAACGGACCTTCTTTGGTGGTGTTCTCCTCCTTGAACGCATAGGCGGCGACGACGAACATCAGCACCCGAGAGGAGCCTCGTCAGGTAGACGCGGTAGCCTATCGCGAGAGAATTAATAGGATTGCAATATCTACTACTTTCCTTGGTCAAGTGCGAACGAATAGGAGATTCAACTACCACATTTATTTTTTTTGTTTCAATTAAATGTGCTGTATAAAACTGTGAATTGCTACACGGTTAAGACTAAAGAAACCCTCTATATATGGTATATCTTCAACAATGTTTTAGTAGTTTTAGTTCGCTAGAAAGTCATCAAAAAAATTTATAATTCGAAATTGGAAAATTAAGACTTGGACCTAGATTCCAGATTCTGGAGTCTCTTCTGATGTTCCATCTCATGGCAGTTATCCTGCTTCTTTGACTCTTCTAGGCATGTTACTAACAATTTTTGCTTTTCGAAGCTTCTGAATGTCTCGAAATCCCCGACTATAAACATTTCTGCAGCCACCACCCGCGTCAATCAGTTCCCTGGTTCCGTTCCTTGGTACTTCGTGCCTACGGCCCCTGCCAATTTCCAGCAATAAATCACCCGGATCAACCCCGGAATTCAGGGGGCCATGTAGTCATCACGACGCAGATAAGAGGTTCCTCCCCTGAAAACTACCTCCGAAGCCGGCATTGAAGCCGAAAGCGGAACCCGGGCTTAATGGCAGCTCCTAAGAAATTACCGTTCCGGTCCTTGCGCTGTTTACCGTATTGTCGAATTTTTTGAGTGGGCTTTTGATGCAAAATTCAAGATTTTTGCTCGTTTTTCTGGTGCATTGAGAGATTCCTTTTTAAGGATGTTAGTTTACCTCGCAGCCGCCTCGGCACCAATTTTGGCGCTGGCCATGACCGGTGACCCGGAGGCCAACATGAAGGCGGTGCGTTCTTCCTTTCGAAAGCGACTTTTATAACAGTTTTATTGGATCTCGAATCAAAGCTACAATCAATTTTGGTAGAAGTAGGGCTATAGACGAAACAGCTATAGTTTAGAAGGGGATATGGTCGTTTTCTTATTTTTGAAGCCGTTTTTTGAAGCAGTTTATAAAGATAGGAACCTTCAAACTTCACGCCGCTATCGAATAAGCAATGTCACATTCATCCCGAGAGGCTTGAACGAGCACCTAAAAAACGCTCCTATTATTGTTCCCCAAACCAATTTTTTTTCCCTTAGCCGCGTTGAAACCGTAGCATTTCCGGACGCTACGATTGGCTTACGACACGAAATTAGATGCTAAAACGGGACTTGAATGAATTCAGGAAATTATCCCCTTTCCGAAAAAGGACCTTTTTTTTGCAGCCCAGATCATCGCGCATTGGGGATACCCGTGTGAGACAGTCAGGTGTACACCGATGACGGCTTCCCATGCTGACGATGCACCGGGTTCGGCATGGAAAGAAGTGAGATCGTCACCTTCACTCCGGAACCATGCTGATTCAGACCAAGACGACGGCAAGACCCGCCCCGTCATGTTCCTGCAGCATGGACTCGAGGCGTCATCCTCAAACTGGATCACCAATTTGCCGTCGTTGGCCATGGGTACGTCGCATTCGAGTTTTGTTCCGTCGTTGGGTACCACTGAACAGCTTGGCGTCGTTTTCGATTTGAAGTTGTCGGTGTTCGCAAGTTGCTGAGTAATACCACAGTCTTTCAGGCTTCATGGCTGCCGATGCTGGCTTTGATGTCTGGATGGGCAACGTCCGTGGAGATGAGTACTCGATCGGACACAAGACCCTCGACCCCAAGTCGAAAGCTTTCTGGCGATTCTCGTGAGTTTTAGGGTTTTTCGGAATTTACCGATCCCATGACTACCATTTTTCAAGTTGAGCTAAACTTTTTTCAGGTGGGACGAGATGGTCAAGTACGATCTGCCGACGATGATCAACCACGCGCTCAACACTACCGGACAAGACCACCTTTACTACGTCTGGGGCACTCCCAGGGAACGCTGATCATGTTCAGTCACTTGGCTGTTAACGGACTTTCAGACCAAGGTGGGCGCTAGTTCAGAAGCTACGACCGACTTTGCTTGGATTTTCTCTCAAACCCGCACCTCCAGGTCCGCCAATTCCACGCCCTCGCCCCCGTCGGAACCGTCAAGCACATCAAGGGACTGCTCGAGTTCATCGCCAAGAACTTTGCCCCGGAGCTTGATGTAAGTCTATTCAAATTCTGTTGAGGCTACCTACGCCTTCAGATCTTTGAGAAAATCTTCGGCGACGGCCCCTTCCTCCCCCAGGACGGTCTGATGCGCCTGATAGAAAAGCTCTTCTGCAGCAACGACCTCACCGAGAAGCTGCTGTGCGGAAATCTGCTTTTCATGATCGGAGGACCCGAGAGTAACCAGATGAACACGGTAATGCTTTTTACAATTTTTAAACGCGTCCCATCAGAATTACTGCATACTCAAAAATGCGTTGTATTTTTAGACCCGTCTCCCCGTGTACATCTCCGATATGCCCGGCGGCACCTCCACGGAGAACATTCTCCACTGGGTGCAGATGGTGCACACCGGACTCCAGCAGATGTACGACTGGGGCAGTGAGGCGGCGAATAAGCAACACTATGGACAGGTGGGTGGTAGATGTCTTTCGATATTAATGATCTTAAAGTTGAATTTCATACAACGATTTTTCTTTAGACCACACCCCCAATCTATGATGTCTCCAAGATTGCCGTCCCCACCTACCTTTACTGGTCCGACTCGGACTGGCTCGGAGACAAGCAGGACATCCAGGAGCATCTCCTGCCTAATTATAACCCCAAAGTAAGTAATAATACTTTGAGTGCATCGCTAGTGCCGTCCTTACTTCTTGAACTTGTTTACTTTACAGTATCTGATCGAGAACAACTACTACAAGGATTTCAACCACCTTGATTTTATCTGGGGCCAGCGGGCGGCTGCCGAGGTTAGCGATAAGACTAGAATAGAATGACAACCTCGCTTTTTTTAGGTGTACACCCCGATCATTGAGAAGGCGTTGCGAGACGTCAATCAAATGAAGAACAAATTGTAAATGTAATTAATAAACGTAACTGGGAATAAAATTTGCCGATACTTGTGAACATCGGATGGATAAATGCGAATCAAAGCTTCGCACAGAGAAAATGCGGCTTTATTCAAAAGGTATCGTCCGGATTACATCCCATCGGTAAGGTAGCTTCAAATGCACATCATTCTCCAGCAGCACTTTGAAGCACTTCTGCTCCTCGACCTCTTCGAAGATTTCTTGCCTTCCCCAAAATTCCGGTCAGCAGCCTCCGCCAGCTTTTCTGCTGGCTGCGGCTAGAGTCGCGTGAAGCCGGATCGGTTTCGAAAACTCGTCAGATCCTCCAAAAGCAGGAAAATTACCTAAACAACTTTTTCTGTCCGGGTAAACACGCGTAACACACCGGAGTCCCAGAACGACTTGAAGGTGATTTTTCGTCAATGTATATCTGGGAGGAAGCGTAGTCTAAAAACACCTATAAGTTATCGCGATCAATCCTCCCAGGTTATTTACAAACATAAGTAACCACAGCATTTACTAAGAGAACCGGTGGCTTTGGAAAGTTGAGCTCCGTGATGGTACATCTCTTCGTCAATTCGCTCAATGCGGTCTATAGAAAACTAGTTTAAAAATTTTACTAATGCTTACCAAAAACCCCAACTTTTGGCATAAAAATAATGTCGATCCGATCTTCGCCTCGTCAGCGTTGTTAAAAACCGAGTCGAAAATAGAAATTACGGATAGAGATCATCGCCCATCTCGGCTGCCCGAAGCAATATGGTGGTGGCTAGGAGGCGTAGCTCGGGCATATTCTGGATGTCGTTCATAGTTGGAAAGGCAACGTAGAGCTTTGTTCATAGAGAGTATGACTTTTGTATGTAAAGCCTCTCTGCTGTTCTTGTGGGATAGGCAAACGACTCAGAGGTACGTCTGAAAAAAGGATAAGGTGCACGGACCAGAAATTACCTTGGTGCGGGCGGGATCCGACTGGCGAAAAAGTACCTGGGGATTGGTTCCTCCATCAGGGAATTGGTGAATCATTTGAGGTGTCAGTACAGGTGCTGACCCAATTCATTTTCAGCCTTTCTCGCTAACAGCTTCTCTTGCTCTCGGTCTCGATCGGCCGTTCGAATCTGGTCGCGTAGCGCTCTACGTAGCGCCTCCCAGTCGAGACAAGCCGTGGCGGGCAGACTATCCACCTGTTCGCTCGAGTCCATTTTTCGGATCTTCTCCCAAATCACGTCGAACGAGGTAGCCATTGATTAAGATCCATTGATCGCGAAAAGGCTCGGTAACCTTACTAGATCGAAATACGGGCGCCGGGCCGGAAACTTTGCCATCTCTTCGACATTCCTTTTTGCGATCTAAAAGTAGGGAACAGAGTGTAGTTCCCTCCCTGCCTTGCCGGCAAAGAACTCTTGTATCTCGGCTCCCAGTTCGCATACAGATGTGTAGGGTGGCTATCAAAATGTTCGTATTGCTCTTGCGGGTATTTTCGTATAAATTTTATAACACCTGTAGATGATCAGGAAGCCGAGATACGGTGGTCCGGGGTTGGCTGAGGGGGGGCGGGGTAAACTGCACTGAAGCCAAAATAAGTTGGTGGAAAAGAACGGATTCTTAAATTTTTGATACTTCATATTATTTTATCCTGAAATCAAAATAAGATGGAATATACCTGCAACAGCCAGCCTCCATTCAACCGGCGAGAAAAGATTGATGTTGGCGTTGTCCATTAATCGGATAGTGAACGCGATGAAACCCGCAACGATTAGATGGTCGACCATCAGGAGTCGCATCGCGTCTCACCATCGAACTCCTCTTTCCATTCGATCATCGGCGCACCAGCTGATTCTTTCGCAACCGCTTTGAGTGGCGTTTCGGAGAGCTCTCCGATCTTTCTGTCTCGTACCCTTCGAAAGCCGTTAACTTTTTCTTCATCGTTCAAAAGCGCCTGTCTCGGCTTTAAATTCTTGTGCGGGCCTTGGCGCCACATTCCCAGATTGTTGGGTGCATAGAAATCGGCCCCTTGACAGAACAGCTTTACGTGCTGATTCTCAACTTGGTGAAGCTGTAACCACGTAAATAACGTTTGAACCCCCAGGTAGCCTCTTTCATGCGACATTCCGGGATACATAAAAATAACGTCGTTAAAGACCGAAGTGACTTCGATTTTGTCGAACCAGGCTGGAAACTTTGGACAGCTTTGGACCATTTTTGAAGCTTGTTTGAGCATTGTCTCGGATGTTTTTTTGTATTGCAACTGGCTTTGTGTACTCAGTCGCTCCTGGATGCTCATAGAACTCTGCCCAACTATTCTTCGCCTCAGAGCTGGTATGAGCTTGTAGAACCTGGGAATTCATCGGATATCTCCAGGGCCATCGGGTCTCCATCGAGGCTGATCACTTTATAAAGTATTTTCGTGTTCCTGCCCCGCCATTCCGGCTCGACTTTGAAGCCAAATTTCTCTGGAGTGTCTGAAAGAAATATTCAAAAATTCTGATGATTTGATTACCTGTTCCAAAGTGCCAGATTTCTTCGACAAAGCCCAACATCGCGTTGAAGATACGGAGCATCACAACTGCGTCGGGCCTATTTTTCGGGCTTGCTGTGTAAGCAACTACAAAAATATGACTCTTTGTAATTGAAGCACGTATTGCCCACCCGCCAGCCGCCAACACGAGCCTAGATTCTGGTGTGCCATCGACCAGCACTGTCAGTTGGAGAAAATCATTCCGTGGATAAATGGCTTTGCTTTGTGCGGTTGTGTTCTTTCTGCTTCCTGAAAGCGTGGCCTCACCTTCAGAGTTTGGTGAGCTGCCAGATGACGATCCCGGCAGCATATACATCGCGTTTGAACTGGTCCTAGAGGCTGGTGTAAGTTTTTCCGACAGATTTCAGAAGACCTCTTCGCTTATTTCGCCATCACCGCCACACCCGGTGCGAGATATGCCGGTGTTGCGCGGTATTGAGGCGCACCGTTGACCTGGCGATTGATGCCGAGATCGCCAACCTTCAGCGTAAATCCGTCAACAATCAGAAGACTGTAAATTTTTGCCTTATTAAGGTCTTGTCTGCTATTGTTATTCTCATACGCTTATGCACTCAATAAACTTTTAATTGGATGAATCGAGACTTACTTGGCGGGCTTTATATCACAATGCACGATATTTTGGTTTTTCAAGTAAATCAATGCTTGAAAAAGTTGTCGTGCCCACGTTGCAATAGTCGAAACAGAATATAAGAGCTGCGGCTTCACCAAAACTAAAGAAGTTACGGTTAATCTGAAAAACGTTTGTTCCGTGATAACATATTACTCTCACACTTTTCTTTGTAGCCTTAAGTACGACTCCTAGAAAACCCACGTTCTTCAATTGATCCGTACTCGCAAAATTCCATGAAGATCAAAAGTTTCCCGGGCGCATCATTGACGTAGTCGTCGGGTTCGTCGATATAATCCACAATGTGATCGTGAGCCAGTTTCTTCTAGCGTGCTCAACTCGTTAAAATACTCATCCTCATCGGTCCTTTTCAGCTCCTTGACAACGATGGGGCTAAACAGATTTCAAATCATTACGGTCTTTTTACGGGATATGAGCGATTCAGTTTGTAGACATCTCCAAAGGCACCGGCGTTCAAGTGCTCTTTGTCGGGTGTTTGCTCATCGTCGAAGCGCTGAAAAACTGATGCCGAATTGATATTACTTTTAGGCGATTTGCCATCAGAATACGAAACAAATTTTGTCGAAATTTCCTTTCGCCGCAACTCACTTTGTCGCAACTTGATTCGACTTAAACATGAATGAAGTTTCGACATGAGGAAATTTCGAGAAAATGAATTTCAAGGAACTCAAAACAACATGTTGAGGCTTCGGAATTTGTGTAAGCTAAATGTAAAAATTACCCTTCTGGAAAACGTGAGTTTGGCCGAAACCATCCCGAGTTGAAAACATCCTCTTCCAGCATATCGACCGGGCCGCAATAACTGAACTGGTATTGTGGATTGAATTATGTGCAATAGGGAATGCAACGAATCGCCGAAAGGACAAATTTATTAGATAACACCGGGGCAATAATTGCCATAATAGAAAAATCGACCCGACACAGCCACCAATATCTTGCGCAAAGAACGGCAGACATACGTGGCGATACGTATCCGCACAAAATTCTCGTTCGGGTCCAGTTCAGCTGATCATGTTTTTTATCAGGTGGATTCTCCTCATCCATAGTATGAAATCAGATTTTGCAGCAAAAAATAGAATTTATTCGAGACGCAAAGGAAATTGCAAAGCGCACCCAGGCGAGATGGGCGTCAAGATTTATGTTCTCGGTTCGCAGAAATCAAATATTTGTTTTTCGTGTTTTCTGTCTCATCGATGGATTTTCCAGGTAGCGCGCCTTTTGGATAATCTTAATACAGTCTACAGTGCATTATTAGTATTTATCACATTGCCGCACCCAAAATCATGCCATTGGCGATTTCCGCGCCAATTGTGAACCGCGCCGGAAGGC